TCATACAATAAGAATATACATAATAATAAGAAAAAGAACAATAATAATAGTAGTAAATTCGATCACCAGTACAAAAATACCAACTTTTATATTATTCATCCCACTGTAGCACGTATTTCTTACAATACATTTAAACTGTTTATATATTGTCTTATTTAAATTTTTTGTTGAACAGTTCATCGGTTTCACATCTTGACTGTTGTTTTTCTCAAAGTAAACTTGCCGATATCAACTAGAATGAAGAAATAATATATATATATATATATATATATATATATATATATATATATATATATATATATATATATATATATATATATATTACATTTCACTGGTTACAGATTAGAATTAATTCACCATCACTTCCTCTTCTTTCTAATAATTATGATCAGTTTTAGAGTATATCAAATAAAGATTATAGACAAATCCACTATTTTGTGTGTACTTAAGGTAGAAAACATGTATTTTAATATTTTAGTTCTGTCACATATAACTGTTGAGTCAAGAATGTTTAGTGATAGAGAAATAATAACAACTGTATTACTCATAGACTATAGGTCTTACTTCTTACTTACACCTGTTACTCATAGAGTAGCATAGACGATGACCGGGCTTCTCTATCAAACATTATCCTCGTTTATCCTTTCCGGTTGTTTCCAACTCCTATTCATTCTTTTGATGTCTGCCTCCAATACCCGGCACAGTGTGTTATTTGGTCTTTCTCTGTTCATTTTCCATTCACAACTCCAAACTAGGGCTTGCCTCTTGATACAGTTCATTGATTTCTGCAATGTATGTCCTATCCACCTCAAGCGTCTCTTCCTAACTTCCTCTCCAGCTGCAAGCTGGTTTGTTTCCTCACACAGTAGGTTGTTGCTGGTGGTATCTGGTCAATGGATCTGGAGTATCCTGTGTTGACGATTGCTTATAAATACCTGTACTTTTTTGATGTCTGAAGTAGTTTTCCAAGTTTCAGCTCCGTACAGTGGAATTTGACGTTTCTATCAAAGATTCTAACTTTGGTACTGAATAGCAGTTGATTTGAGTTGTATATGTTCTTCAGTTAACTTATTTAATAAACGTTAGGTAGTAGTATCGCCTAATATGGTTTAGTCTTCTTTTGTGTTCTCTTTCACCATTAACGATGGACTTTTTATCAAGTATTTGCATAAAATAGGTTTACATTGTTGTAAAATCATTAAACTGATTTTGGCTTCTTAAAATTTACGTAGGATTCTGTTTTAATTTATAAAACGTAGATAGAATGCATTTGTTTCTTTCCTTGTGAAACCACAGCTCGGTGATTCAGCTAATTGGAATTCTTACTTTTTTTGGTGGACGTTTCATCTTGTCTCTAATTTTTCGGTCTTAACAACTGATTATTAGTCCCAGTTATTGTTGTATAACAAATATTTATGATGATAGTTTAATTCTAACAAACTTTATTTTCTAATCTTGATTTTGTATCTTCTTCATTCATTACAGTTTTACACAGTACTCGTTTTTTACTGCTATCAAGAATACTTTTCCCTTATTTGTTCGTCGCTTTTTTGTCTATTTTTAACTAGCCCCAAGGTCATTATAAACGAATAACTGATACTGCAGTGTCTGACTTAGCTAAATAATCTTTGATATTTTCAATGAATCTTACTGCTTGACATTTCGACTATTGAATTTGCCAATATATCTGTCACTGTGAATAGATACAGCATTGTCCATGTTTCTTGTTCAAAGAGAGGTTGAATCTTAGAATAGTTGTCTTGTTATGTATCAACAATAACATAACGTCTAAATGAGTACTTCGTTAATAAATTTCAGTAGCCCTTCAACAATCTAATCTCTGAGATTTCTCCACTACTAACTACCTCTGTTCTCTATAGAACACAAACTTTTTAACGTTATTACAGTAGCTAATGTTTGTGTTTTTCCTCCGCAGTCTTATGATAAATGTTTGCTACGGTACATTAGACTTCCAAGTTTAGTATATTCTGACTAAATAAGAATAGGAAAAGAATAGACAGTTGTTTATTCTTCGTCTAAACACCCTTATCATGAGTTCTTATTGGGTTCTTTGTACTATGTCGGTAGATTTAAACGAGATGTTCTCGTGTATTTTTAGAGGTATGAACACAGTTGTCACTACTCTCCAGTTGAACACACCAATAAATTATTTTTCCTTTTAGGGGACCTGAAAAAGAAACTGTGTTAGTGGTAGTCTTGGGAGCGTGACTGCAGTCTATGGGGCAAATATTTAGTCGGGGGGGGGATCACACTCAACCATTTTATGACGAGTTTTTGAGATGTTAGCTTCACATTTCAAGTGACATTATCACCAGAGATGACAATCCATAAAGTTGAAGTAAAGTGTGTCATTTTTAGAGTCAAAATTTCATAACATCAGTTGTGATTAGGGAGCATTGTTGATGCTAGTTATCAGATAGAAACAGTTTTACTCTTTTCACACTCCTGTACGACTTTGCTCTCATACTTTAAGTTGATGCTTTTATTCTTATTGTTTCTCGAATGACTTGCTTAGCATGATAGAACTTAAAAAACAACAACAACAATTGTCCCATTCAATATAACTTGATTGAATCATTACAATATGCAAACCTGACAACCATGTTAATGCAGCATTTACAATCAGATCAATTCATTTACAAATATCTATTAGTATAAAAAGAATTTTATATCTAGAAAGCAATAACTGAGAAATTTTTCCTGAATAAAATCATTTCTCATCTTTTCTACTTAATCATTATTCAATTAATTTTTCACTTCCAAGATACATTCATTTGTGTCAATTAAAAAAAGTTCATTATTTAAATTATAGATCTGTTTTACGGATTCTTTTTAATTCTATATTGTTTTGTTCTATAGTGATAAAGAACTAATATGATTAAAAAATATTTAAAACTGACATATATATACTCACTTGTGTTTAGATACTAAATTTAGAATATTATAATTATGTAATTGGCAAATCAATATGATGAATAACTAACTAGTTCTACTGGTAATGTCATACATAAAAAATAGTCCTCTCTTTATTCATTGTTACATTTCATAACTTCTCGTTAGAAGAATACACTTTAAGTATTATAAATTATTGTTCTAAAACATGTTACAGTTTTCTTGATAATACACTATTGAACTCTTAAAGAAATCATCTAATGCATAATTCCGGAGTCACACAAACGAATCGAATGCAACATTAATGTTTAATAAAAGTAGTGAAACAATTGTTAACCATCTGCACGAAATTGAGACAGATTTATGTCCTTGTCTATAGCTGTTAATATTATTGTGTGATTAATAATTGTTTCTAAATAAAATCGGCATATCATTCTGACATTTCCAAACTTTCAGTTAAAATCAATAATAAATATATTTATACCCAATGATGTTGCATTGAACTATGAAATTTAAGGCTTTGTCTAAAGTTCTTTTAGGTAATCTACAATCCTCAAATATTTCCCAGGCTAATAATCATGTCGTTAAGTATCGTATCTTGTTCATTGTATTCCTACTGTCAATAACGAAATGTTTTGTTAGATTATGGGGATATATAGAAAAATATGTGAATACACAATTTGTTCAATGAATTCACTGACGTTACTAAAATTTTATACGCCTGTCCTACCTTAGTTTCTATTATTCAAAATACCCATGAACACAGTCAGTAAATTCCCCTAGTTGCCGTATTGTATTCCTTTCTGTTAGAAACATTTGTACCGAACTTTTCTAAATTCACCAAAAGATTTAGTAGCATTTTTCGGGTATTTATTGGACAAATTATCTAATGTGGTGTAAATATAATATAAGCTTTTCAAGTAATTACATTGTATTCACTAATTATCTATTCATTACTCTCTTACGTAGAAAATGCCAAGCTTGATGTTGAGAACAGAGACCCTCAAAAAATAAATTGTAACAAGGTTATGTGCTGTACAAATCCTCTTAAAGAAACTCCCGTGGTATCGTCGAAATCTGTTCACAAAGTGGACCATCCTGGTGCTGGTATTCAGAGTAAAGATGTACCCCAAAATTGCACTACTTCGTAGTACGTGATATTACTCACCGTCATCTTTGGTATACAACGTCCACATCGAGTGTAATTTCGGAATCAATGTTTGCATTTCGCAATTGACGCACATATTTAGCCAGATAGTAATTAGATCTTGACATATGGTTTCGACGTCATTTAATATTCCTTCAATGTAATTTAGTTTTTCTGTTATATTGAAGCAATAGTACATACACTATCCTATTTCCATGTTGAACAAGTTAAAACAATGTGTGAAATGTTATTTCCACCAAAAAGTTGTCTTTTGTGAATACTGCAGGCTGCGTATTACTTCTCTATATCAGTACATGTCTTTGATCCCTAGGTATATTGGTCATAAGCAAAATCCAGTATTTTATTTGGAATAGGTCGATTTGAAACAATGCCATAAGTAATTTTGTAGTTCACGTGTGATCTGATCGGGGCCAAGCACATGACATTGACACAAACTAATGAATTAGGTATTGAAAGCATAAGTGAAGATGGCGCGAGCCGACTGTTTTTCTTGGTGAATGGCAACAGGTTATTTGTGTATATTTCACCCATATAAAATCACATCATTAGGGGACCGCAGAAAGTTAAAGACTACCTTATTTCTAAATGCATATCAAAATTTTTCTTGTTTAGACTGTTCAAACCTAGTATGAATTACTAGATTTATCACGTTAACATATGTTTGGCGATTAAACTGATAATTTTATCGAATTCACTCTTAGACAATTAAACCAACCATATTAGTCAGCATCAAGAATGACCTTTTGGTCACCGAAAGAACTAAAACTCTGCAGCATATATCTCACAATATTTGGTATTTGAGTATCTGGCCTATACAATCTACAGTTACTATAATCACTAAGTAGGCTGCAGTGTTAAAAGTAATACGCAACAAAAGCAACGTTACTACTGCAGAGTGAAGAAACAAACTCATTCAGTTGAACATAAGAAACAACCAAGGCAGTCTTTAGCACACTGAACTGTGATGACAGTGGATTTTTAGGAAAACGATTAAGAGTACTTGAACAGTAAGACAATGAATTAGGAGGCACTTAGTAATGATAGAAAACAATCAAATAAATTAATAATGAACGTCTTGCAGATAAGAAGTTCTGTACAAGGTTTTTGTTACCAGATAGACGTACAGTTTAACAAAACTGGAAAAAAATTGAAGCTACCTAAATCTTAATAAAGAATAATAATATGAACAAAATGAATATTGTACAAGTGGATTATAGGAAATCTGAATGAAAACAAATAATCATGTAACACAATTATTGAAATCAAATGTCAAACGCATCATAAATGGTGTACAAACAAGTGTTTTTATTGAACTTGAGTAAATATTGTTTGGAAATTTTAATTGAAAAGTTGTTAGCATGAAAAAAATTAATACGAAAAAAGAAAGGACAAATAGTTGAAAAAAACTACGTAGTGCAGTACTATTTAATAAAGGTGATTAGTTTTACAAAAAGGCAATTTACATAATAATATTAGCAAGTTCTCTGTGTAAAAATAGTTCTGCTCTGCACAATTTTGAACAACATTGTTTAAATGAGCTACAGCATTCTCCCAGCCTGATAATGGCTGATCACTGTATACAAACAAAATTTGAAAAATACAATAACTTTGGGGAGAATTAGATATCAAGTAAAAATGAGGGCTTTAAAAAACGCATGATACAAAAACAATTTGCTTTAGTATAGGAGGGAGAGACAAATAGAAAAGAACTAAGTTTGTGGACAATTGTGATAATCAAGTCGGTAACCTAAAAATAATGTACAATTTCTGGAAAGGGATTTAAATAATACAGCCGGTTGGGATTAATCTGTGTGAAGATAATTATATAAAGCGTCAGTTGTCTATATTTACAGATATAAACATCTGAAGATGTTCGCTGAACGAAACACTTCTAGATAATTGCATAATTTCGAAGCGGTAAAACACACAGACACATCGGCCATAAAATTCATTTCTTCTGAATAATTTATTGGTTAGACGGATGAACGGGAGTAGCTTAAGTTGTCATCGATGTCGAAGGATTAAGGCTGCAAAAATTAAAAAAACATTTAGGTGATTTATTAGGACTAATCTTGAACATGATAAGTTAAAGAAATTACTGTGTTGCAAGTACAAAAAGTTTTTCGACATAAACATTTGAAATATTCCCATAATGTAAATTTAGAACAACATATTTAAGCGAGCAATATTGTTTTCGATTAGATCCTCAACTTACTGAGGTGCACATCCTGCATTGTTGGGGGGTATTTCTGAAGGTGATGTAGGTCGGGAAGGGTCAACTGCAGTCATACTAGAAGCATTTCCAGATGCATTTTTGCTACTACTGGCGATATTGGTGCGCTTCTTCTTGATAGCTGTACTTGTGGACTGTGGATTTAAATTTGCGTCGGCTATATATTTAAAATAACGATTAGAAAAGATTAGTATGGCATAAAAGGACAGTTGACAAACAGCGAAAATAAAAGTGCGATACATAGATAAAATTTGGAAACGGTGTCCAAAAGTATAACTCAACATTTGATTATCAAATGAAGCAGGGAAATTCCGGTTACACGTTCTTGTTCCAGAAACAGAGCTATGTGGCTATTCAACAACACATACCGTTCAAAATTTTGAGACAAAAAACTGGTTTAAAAGTCGTTACGTCTAAAAAAAAGCACAATACAGTAGGGTTATGATTCATTTTTTCTAACCAATCCAGTCGAAATTTATCACCTCACTTGATCAGCTTTGGCAGAGTTGGTTTTACTGGATGCTCGGTCAGGCACTGTATGATAGTTGGGGTTTTTGATCACTACACTTGGTTCAACGAAAGATAGACAGAACGATAAAAAACATTTAATAAACACGGAGCAATATATCGATGCAAAGAATTTCATCTAACTTACCAACCGCAATGTTATGAGGACTGGAAGATGACAATCTGCATATGCCTTTCTTCCATCCAATCACAGTCTCAAGATCCCTATCTAACTTCACTATAAATACGTGGTTTGACTTCTGTACACTTGTTTTTAGTTGATATATATTGATATCAAACCTAAGTTTATATAATTAGTTTCGACTTATTGTTATTTTGTGTAACGGATAGTAATAAAAAGTGGAAGTTAAAAGCGAACCAAGTGAAGTAGGATTGTAATATGGAACTTGATATTTGAATGCTGTTTTAGCGACTAAACCAATGGCTCCGCATATTTATTTCGGAAGTTGTCTTAATCTATATATCGAATGCTAATTATTTTAAACCTCAACTGTGTCGAGTGAAGTACACCAGTTAAAGAGATATTGACAGAAGAAGACAGAACTTCCATGATCCAAGATTCCATCTTTTTGTGCACAACAAAAAACAAATGAAAAAACTACGGGTTATGTGTTCATAAAATACCTATTTATCCTATCAAATGACCCCTGACATTACACTGGACATAGTTCAACTATGTTTTCCATTATTCAGATGTATACTTACATGATTAGTGTTCACCAAACATTTATCAGCTATTCTATTCATCTTATTAAGTATTTCCAAATACTAGACAAACTTACATCATTCTTTACAATTGAAATCTATGTAATCCGTAAATCGATTTGATTACTTAACACAAATTTCTGAATCTTTAACTAATTACATCATATGTTCACTTGATTTAATTTATTTAAGATATATATTCTTAAACATTTATAACTAATTTATCTAAATGCATCCTATTATTGCATCATTGTTAGATCCTGTTAACTGATTCACATTCATTTGATCAGTATTGATTGAACTGTCAAATCTACATAATGTAGTAACAAAGAAGAGCTGACAATTTTTGTTTTGATAAGGATCGGAAAAACACATTTTTAAAGTTTGTTGTTAATTAAGTTACATGGCGAGCACACACATGGGTTTATGTGCTGGAAACCTGTTACTACGTAACAAAGTTTCCCTAAGCAGTACTGGTAAAGCTTTTAGCAAGTGATTTAGTGGTTATCTGTATTACGAATTCACAGCATCTAGATTTGCAGGTTTTCTTAACTGATAAAACTAAACTTTTCTCAAAATATAATAAAACTATAGGATAAAATAATTTATTGCTTACGAAGAGAGGAGTCAGAATCTCGGAGTCTTTTACCGCGACCCCTACCCCCATATCCTACACGTCCACTTGTTGGTACCACCGTGTTACCTTGTAATGGAGCAGGATTGGAACTGCTGACAGCTTGAGGATTTGTAGCATGACTAACTCCATCATGTCCTGGAGCATTATCAGTGTTGTCAGGATCCAGACTTGATCGATAGGCATGCAGACTAGCCCATTCACTGCCAACAGGATTTGGGAAAATCTAATCACGAAAGATGGAAATTTGAAAAAAGTATAGAAATAATAAACAAGTCAAATCCCGATTTACTGTGATAAAAGAAACATTCAAATTACTGGATAAATACTAATATTACACGTCAAACTTTCTACCCTGTTAAGAGAGTACGAATAAGAGAAATAGTCATCTGTAGCTACGAAAGAAACAGTATCTAGAGAATGCGTATTAGTGTCAGGTCTTCGTTTACAACCGATTAACTGAAAAAAATCGTTCGCAAAGTGTGTTCTGATCTAGCTTCAGCTACAAGCCTACATCTACTTATATACATGATATTAAAAAATAAACCGTAAGATTCAGGTGTCGTAGGTTAATTGCCATCAAATGAAACTAAGAACTAGATCATTATTCTCAGTTCTGGTCAATCACATCATTATTAGTGGTTCAAATGTAAATATTGGGTGTTCAAGTACTCTGATAATCAATCATGATAAAACGTAGTTTAACACATATCATCATCATTTTTGCAACGAGAAATACTTGGCATAATTGAGTTACGAAGCAACTCTTAAAACTTACTCGACGTAGATATTCACATATGCTTTTCTTGTCTTGTCTGAGAAGCTTGTTTGAGAATTCAGCGACAACTTCAAGGAAAAGTAAGTTGCTTGGGACACCAGGGGTTTGACCTGTTGCAGCAGCTGTGGAAGCAGCTCGAGAAACACAAAATTGTATCCCTTCCGAGTGAAAGGCAACCATAGATTCTCGTATTTTAATTAGGTCGAGACCGAAACTGAGATTCAGACGCCTAGCAAGTTCCTTTACAGCTTGGAGACCTTCAGAACCACGTTCAACACTATTCTGTAAGAGAGAAAACAAACAACCCATCAATTCATTATAAAATGGAATGCAGACAGGATTGCATGACACAACTTTCTTTTCATGACAGAAATTAAAGGAATTCTGCAATGCGCTGGATACAATCTTTACTCGGTTTATTCAAGAAAAGCTAAAGTAAGTGTTATAAGCATTTGATTATGAAACCTTTTTCAAAAACATTCAGCGTACAGTGAAGGCGACCGTATAGGTCAAGACGTCTGGTAGAAATGGTGAATCTTCATTGGTAAGAACGGTTCAGATGTGTAATGTTTGTTCAGCCATTACCTTTCTAGTCATGTAGTGTTAGATGTAATAGGAATAAAGTGGGGAAAGGCTAGTAACAAGCAGAAAAAAGGGACAGTTTAGAGCCCATAAGATAATCGCAATTTATGCTTAAAGATTCTGGGTGAAGAAAATAAACCGGTTGCAACAGGACAGAGTTCACCATTGGATTAACTACTTCTATAAATCCGGTGTTCATTTAGATGTGCTAATGACGAATGGCAACTTCGACCGATGAACATGTGTGCCTGGTCTTACGTCGTAGCTGACTAGACACAGTCACTCTATTCCTTATCTTTCTAGAAGTCCTAAACATCGTATTACCCTTTAATTTTTATTCTCCAAAACCTAGATAACATTTGAATATTTTTGTTTATTTTGGACGTCAAAGTCTGTAGCACATATTTTTATTTACTTGCCTTTCTTTTTTCTGTGAATCAAATTTTAGGTTATTGAGTAAATGTACCTAAAATCTGCTGAAATACAGCAAAAGGGTTTCTGTGTTGCTTAAACTGATGTGTAGTTATGCCCATCAGAAGATAAAAGCGTACAAAAAAGATGCAGTTAGATACAAAAACAATTTCCCAATAGTTTTTGTTTAAGAACACGTTCTTTTATATCTAGTCCGGACTAAGTTATACAACCTAACAAAAACCAAGTAATTTAAAACAACAAATCATTAATAGTACCCTCCTTTGCCTGGACATATGAGCAGTTGTAACTCGGGAGGTATGAGTAGCTGATAAAATTCAAAAACAGCATCAGTGCCCTGGTATGGCCGAGAGTGGGGTGGGTTCGCCTCCCTCTCAAATTACTCTCGCTACCAAAGGATTGATGTTAGCAAGCTGGTTGCAACTTCTGTTGCTAGTAAGTATCGAATAGAGCTAGCTTCTAGGCTAGCTACCATTCCACCGAAAAGTATAGATGAGCATTGGTTGCAATTGCATGACGCCATGAAAATGGCGGGTACAGTCTGTTGTGGGTTCGCGAAACGTCCCGCTTACAAGCACTGGGTTTCTTCTGGTTTCTTACAACTGATTGAAGCCCGTCGGCCTACTCCGGGTGACAGTGAGTTTGATCACAGACGAAGGATGTTACGTAATGAAATCGGGCAAAGCTTGCGTAAGGAACGAGAAGCCTGGTGGTCGGAGCGTGCCAGTGAGTTGGAAGCAGTAGCTGCATCTGGTAATTACCGGAAGCTCTTCCAACTCATCCGAGCCACTGGCAGCAAGAAGTCTGGTGTGAGCGAAACAATCTGCGAAGATGACGGAACGCCAATCACTAACATCCATCGACGTCTTGGACGATGGGCAGAATTTTTCGAGAAGCAGTTCAACTGACCTGCTGCTCCGACAACATCGATCAGACTGTCCTGCCCTCCATGGCCGGTGACGACTGATCCACCAAATGAGGCGGAAGTCCGCAAGCAACTCCAACTCTTGAGGCGCTACAAATCACCTGACCAAAATGATTTACCTCCGGCTCTTTTTAAAGATGGTGGTGACTTTCTGACTAGGGAACTGACGACGTTGTTTACAAAGGTCTGGGAACTAGAGAGTGTACCAACGTGATGGAATAAGTCGATAGTTGTCCCTATCTTCAAAAAGGGTTCACGTCGTTCCTGTAACAACTATCGGGGGATAAGTCTACTTCCGATTGCGTCCAAGCTATTGGCTTCCGTCATACTTCGTAGGTTGTTCAGAACCCGAGAAAGATTGACTCGCGAGGAGCAGGCTGGGTTTCGTTCTGGTCGAGGATGTATTGATCACATCTTCACCCTCCGCCAAATGTAAGAACACCGCCATACTTATCAAAGGCCAACAATCGTAGTGTTTCTTGATATCAGGGCTGCCTTCGATTCGTTGGACAGAACTGTTCTCTGGGATTGTCTATTGAAGAAGGGTGTGCCTGAGAAGTTTATTAACATCCTGAAAGCCCTATACACGAACAGCTCAGGCAGAGTGAGGGCATACAACCACCTTTCTCCATTGTTCCATTCAAGCAGTGGGGTTAGGCAGGGTTGCCCAATCTCACCATTCCTCTTCAACTTTGCCATCGATGACATTCTGGAAACAGCTCTGACGGATGTAAGTAATGGTGGTGTGGATCTGTTTCCTGGAGAAAGACTTCTCGACCTTGAGTATGCGGATGATATTGTCTTACTGTGCGAGAATGCCCAAGCCATGCAATCCGCACTTAATCAGTTGGCAATCAATGTCCGTAGGTATGGTATGTGCTTTGCACCTTCGAAGCGTAAAGTACCTCTACAAGACTGGCAGGATTCTAATCCTATACTCACTGTGGATGGTGAGCAGATGGAAGTCGTCGAGAAGTTCGTGTATCTGGGTAGCTGCATAAGTGCTGGTGGTGGTGTGAGTGATGAGATCAATGCACGTATAGTGAAAGCCAGAGCGGCTTATACCAATCTGGGCCATCTTTGGCGCCTTCGTGATGTTAGTCTGGCTGTAAAAAGTCGGATCTACAACGCGACGGTGAGAGCAGTTTTGCTCTATGCTTGTGAAACCTGGCCTCTCCTAGTTGAGGATGTTAGACGACTCTCTGTGTCCGATCATCGTTGTCTCCGAAGGATTGCTGGCATCCAGTGGCAACACCATGTCAGTAATGCAGAGGTTCGGCATCGAGTGTTCGGTCACAGAGACGATAATTCCATTGGTGTCACCATCTTGCAACACCGACTTCGGTGGCTTGGACATGTTCTACGAATGTCGTCCCAGATAATTCCTCATCGTTCATTATTTGCCGACTCTGGGACTGGTTGGAAAAAGCGGAGAGGTCGTCAGTATATGACATGGTGTCGTGGTATGAAAGAAAGCTGCAAAGGACTTGGTTGTGTTGGTCCTTCACGACTCCCTGGTTGGGGTCCGAGAGACGGTGTAACGCAGTGGCTAGAGACGTTATCAGATATGGCTCAGAATAGAAGCCAGTGGCGATCCTGCTGTAACTTTCTTTTACTTTCTTCGTAAAGAGTGGTTGCTTCTTGCTTAACTGAAAGATTTCTTTGATTGTACCTTTTCTTTTCCCCCATTATTACTACCATTACATTACCTTACACCAATCTGGTCGTTATTGTTTTGTTTTCTTCCCTTCTCTTTAAATTCCTCATTTTTTTGTGTGGCGCATATATATTTGGTGCCCGCTTGTACCAATATTTATGTGTTCAAATAAATAATACAATTTCATCAGATTCGAAGGCCAAAAAATTTTAGTTTGTGACTTACCATAAACGAGGTTTAAATAAACATAGAAAAAAGACCCTAATGTGAATTACAAAGAGCAGAAAGGCGAATGCCATCAGTTGCATCAGTTACTTGAATGAAATACGACAAGTGACTAGCTACTGTAGAGAAAACATCTGTTTTTCCTTCATAATATGACACTTCATACTGATAAAATGGTGGTGTGTGACGAAAATATCTAATGAAATCTAACTGCAGAACAAAATTTCATATATATTAAGCAAGAACAGGTTAGAGCTCATTTGGAATTGGAATTCAAAAACATAAGGCGCGGATGAAACAATAATTAAATGAGGTCCGGAGACAGGTAAGATAGATTGTGTGGTAATTTTAGAGGTTATGAAGGGTTTACATAAGACTATTGATTATGTAATAAATTATCAAGATTTGAAGAGTATACATAAATTAAGAGAATTAAGCGAATGAAAACGTATGAGTGAAGGGACAGTTTTGGTGTACATTTAATATGAATTGGTTAAGGGAAGACCGCATAACCGAATGAACACTAATAAAATAATGATAATAACAAAAATATTTTACCAAGGTACTGATTAGTTTATTACTGTTTCTTTTTGGATACACATATCACGTTTGAGTTTTTTAAGTGCTATTGCTTCGGCGAACCGAAGAGACGCTGAGATGTTTGCTCATAATTTTGAGGGTTTGTGGAATGTAAATGGTATGTCTGGTGTCATATAAATGCAGAGCAATCGCACTGTTTAGATCAGAACAAAATATGGCACCTACTAGCACAATAACAAATTTATGAATCTCGTTTGAAGAAACAAAAGGAAAAGTAAACAGTTCAAATGGGTATAAACACTATCTCAACTTACATTAGAAGCTGCTTCTACTTGTAGATAACATAATTCTAAACAATGCGCAATCATACGAGCGGTGTGCACGCGATTAATTTCACGAGCTTTGGCTAGTGTAGATTTCATAATATCACCAAAATCATTGAAAGACCGAATATAATATTTATAGATTGGAGCAGCTGCTCGTATAGGAATCAAATTATATATTACTAGTTTAAAAAATGCAGCTAGCTGTGTACGCCTTTCGTGAAGCGATTCAAATTTGACATTTTCATCATCCTCTTCCTATGATAAAAATAGAAACAATTATATGTTAAAATAAAATTCAAGTATTGAAAAGTAGTAGGAATCATTTAAATTAGAGATATCCTATAAACATACATCTCTGTTTTAAAATTCTCTGTAATGCAAATGAATACAATCAACTCATTCTATATCATGGCGGTATAAATTATCCAGGATAAGTGTTACAATGAGGTGAATATTAAAGATATTGGAACTTTTGAGACAATTTTACAAATGATTATTATTTGTATTTCTGTTTCTTGTATTGTAGGCTTGTGTTACATTTATCAACTATTGCTATACGATTGTTATACAACTGATTGACTCTTAGGACGTTAGGTGATAGCTGAGATAATCATCGTGGGGTAGAGAAATTATAACCAGGATTCTGACAGACGAAACTTCTAAATTTTTATCAATATTTTATGGTAACAATAAGTATGAATATTTACATATTTTGAAAGTCGAACATTGTTATAGAAAGATAAACCATTGAAATAAACAATCTCATTAAGATGATGAACTTGATAGTATATTTTAATATTTCAATAAACAAAAAAAACTTAAATCAACTCATCTTGCATTTACTCGGATATGAATCACGCTCTAATTGTGAGGACTAATGATAATACCCAGTTGCTAAAACCGAAGGTGTACAATGGTTCGGACCTGAAACTTAGTGGTTGGAACTCATATGCCTTTATTATTAATCCACCATACCACATTTTAATACACAATTTGCAGATAACTACAGCTACAAAACAAGTAATACATAAATTGATGGTATAAAGATCTGAATTTAGAAAGAAATACTACGAAAATATTACAAACTCACATCGTCATCATCAACAAAAACCCGTTGCTCCAGAAAATTGGTCAATTTGAGTTCAAGATCCCTGTCGGCTGTATAAATGATAGATTTCAGATTTGGCAAATGGATGGAAAGATGACGTGAAAAAACAACGAGCAAATCACAAATGGACAGAAACGATTCTGATGCTAACCGTTTGCATGAATGATCTAGGTAGCCAATACATACGTCCATATACAGATTTAACCGTCTTCTTAGTTTGTTCAAATCTGTCTGCAAACAGAAACAATGCAACATAAATATCAATAAAAAAGGTAGAGATGGACAATTACTAGCAGCTGGACTTGGGGAGTCACAACTTAAAACTAATAAATCTGCGTGTTTTTCGAATCGAACGAATTCCCAAAGATATAATTATCAAGAAAGATGATAACAAAGTATAACTTCAAATAAGTGCTTTGAATGAAGATAGTAGATGGACGTCTGTACGCGCGGGAACTGTGTGAACTGCATAAAGAGTGAATGGTTATGAAAAGAACCACTCTGAAAAACAACTTTCCTGAACAGAAATGGAATACACGAAATAAATCAGTTTGACGTCGGTTAACTTCAAACTTTATTCGCCTCTTCAAACAAAAACAACAGTTGAGAGTTATCTCCCCTTCATCGAAAAAAACAGCAAAAGAGATCAACGTTAAACTAAGGCACTATTCTGCACAACACCAAGACAAAAAACAAGTTAAAATACTGTAATGAAATGGACAAGAGAAATACATAGAAAGAATCTAAACTTACTTTGTCGACATCGGCCTCTCCTATTCTAGCAAGATTCCACAGTAGAGCTTTAGAGCAACAGCTAACAGCCTGAGCCACAATTTCACCGTTGGCATCATTTCCGGATTGTGCGATCCTGATAAGACTATCCCATAAATCCAATCCAGAAAGATCGTGACAACTAAAATTATTCGAAAAATAAAAGCAGTACGAAAATTTCCAGATAAATATAGGCTGTCGGCTACGAGGTATCTCCGAATGAAAATGCCACAAAGATTTTCCTGTAAATTTTACAAAAATGAGTAGCCGTTTCAGACTTCTAAAATCTTACAATACGTTCCTACTGTTTCATATAACTCCAAACGTTAACTTTAGATAAATTCTGCTACATACTAGATTGTGGTTTACTAGGAAAAGATTATTTACAATGAATTTGATTAATGTCGAAATTCTGAACTAATTTTGTGTAATGGCAATGGTGTGTGATGAAATATGAAGTATAGAACTAAGAGATTAATTTTAATATAAAAAAACGAAAACGAATGTCCAGTAATCTGGAAATCAGTTAACTGAAAATAAATATCGTGTGAAACATAGCGTTCATAGCACTTTATAATTGATAACACATAGACTGCTCCATTTAACTTAGGTACGACAATTTTCTCAAGGTCAGGAAACATTGAGATCAAATAACTGTTTACGAAATATTGCAGTAGTAAGTACGATACTTCAGAATTCTATGGTGATTACACAACGAAGATTATGATTGAATAATTAAGCTCATTGCTGTAGATGACACAAAAATGTTGATTTCAAGGACAGCTAAACACAAGTCTCTTGTAAAATCCATCTGATTAAATAACGTCAAGGAAAATTTACAGTATTATTCGGGATCATATGTTACTGAATGAAAGAGGTCATAATCATCTACAAAGACTCTCAACCAGTGGTCGCGAGTGGCTTAAGTAAAACGTTACGTTGAGTTGACACATGAATCCCATTTTACTGAAAATCATATCACTAGCTTGCATAAGGAAATATGTTGTTCAAAGATGGATGCATGATTAAGTACTAAGTTTATACACTCATAGATATATGTTGCCGAAATCCCTGGAAAAACCATTTTGCTGAACAGACCTTGTATTACTTGAAAGCCCTAAAAATTATACCGATATCGTAAGGGTAAAATCCTCTAACTTGATCACAATTTTAGTGAACATTTAACTAAACCTATTTTAATAATATTTACAATTGTGATGTGAGACAAGTTAATAATTTAGGTTAAATTAAGAACTGGCACTTTAAACCATCCATATAAATAAAAATACCAGCTTATCTAAATTAAGTTTAAGCTGTTGTTCCAAGGGATAAATAGCATGACTACAAAAACGCAGTGAAATCACATATGTAACTCTACACAGATGACAAAATGTTAATTTCTAATCCGCAATTGGTATTTATGGGTTAATGATTGGTTTTTTGTTATTTCTGATGTCACAACAACAATCTTTGGAATATAATGGGAAGTTAATTTTCTCTAATTGTTGCGAACAAATAATATTAATAAAAAACATCTCAATGATTCTAAATGGTGAACTGTTATTTCTGAGGTCCAGTAAATTAACTATATTTGACAGTAATAACTTTATTTATAGCTGTCCACTTCTGGTAAATATAACAGAATCATGTTTACAAAGAAATAATAAATTTATGACTCACGCGTAAAACGCATAAATTCGTTTCAATGCGGCTAGTAAGTGAAACTCATCATCCTGATCGGGTTCCTCTCCCTAAAACGTGGAAAGATATAACTAACATAAATGAGTGACATTTACGCCATTTATTTTGGAGGATAAAATAAAAACAAAAGGACACAAATATGTTAAGTAATAAAGTTAACAAGCTGCTAAACATAGGATTAAGATGTACAAAATCAGAAGCTTTGGTGTACTTTTCGTAATTTACACTCATAATCGATTCAAGATCCAACAAGATGTACGCAAGCGAATATGAGCAAACATTATTAGCAGCAGTAGCGTATGTACTAAAATAGAGTCAAAACATCGTCAATAGTCTATAAAAGTTTTAACAACAAAATATATTTGTAAAGTACTTTACATGAAAGCCAGAAGTGTCTATGAAATCACAAAACCGCCCCAAAATGCCCTGGTATGGCCGAGAGTGGGGAGAGTCCGCTCTCGCTCTCCAAACGCTCTTACATGGCCATGCGTATATAGCCTCTGCCAGGGAAGTCCTACTCACTGCCTTCTCGTGGCGGGGGTGTTGTTTTCGAAAATGAGAGGACGAAAAGCGAATGTCCGGCGCTTTAACCGGATCCCAAATCAATGGTGCACATGGGCTCCAGTATCCTGAGGGAACAAATGGCGTATGAACCAATCGTTGGTCACCGGCTACCATGGGACTGTATCTCCTCACGATGCTCCACTGCCTTGTGGGTCAGACGTTCAGGTCGAAGGCTCCGGGTGTGGCCCCTAAGAAAACCACCTGCTTCGGTTTGGGCACCCGGGCAGTATCACAGTCCTCACACAAATCAATTGAGATTCGTGTGGCGCATATGTATTTGGTGCCTCCTTGTACCAATACCTATGTGTTAAAATAAATAATAAATAAATAATCACAAAACCAAGTGCAATGGCTAGTAAACGTAGCAATAGTGTTAGCCCAATAATAAAACTGGGTTTTAGAACACTTATGCTTACACGAACACTTTAATAAAATCTCTTTTTATACATAATTATATAACAAAGAAATACCCACAGTTTACGGCATAACAATAAGAATTTCGGTACGAAAATTAACCTGATCATTAAAGTAGTTTAAGAACGCATCCCGATAAAGATCCACCAAACGATCCAACAGCGTCCCACGGACAGTTTGACACTTTGCAGAAATGCTTAATTCATCAATACACAACGATTCGTAAACGCGCGAACAAGCCAATAATGTGTGTGGATCAGTATGACGTACTACAATATCCTGAAAATAAGAAATGCTTTCTAATAAATACTTTTGACCAAACATTTGATAATAAAATTCCCAAACAATGCACTGTTAGATTAATAAATGCAATTGCTTAGTACTCTGAACTTTTTAAGTTACGTTTAGCAAAAAAACTAGTAAGTGAATATAGTTATAAAGTTATTATACATTAAACAGGAATGCTTACGTTTCCAGTGATGAAACTATATTAATTAAAAACTTATCAATGTGAAGTAATTACAGATCAGTACTTAACAATTGTAGCGTGTAATAAATACAAGACAAAAACCCCGAAGCCGACAGAATAAATAAGTCTTGCCTTACACTGCTTTCTAAGTGATGAATGTAATTAATAAGCATGTATTGGTTTCAAAAGACTTATGCTGATTGCGAAGAGTATTACGTCATGAAATGAAAGAGGAGTGGCTATGATGTTGATAAATCTAATATTGGTGTACGACTTAGTTTTATTGAATTAACCTTGAAAAAACTTAGCTTGATTGGAAAATCAATCGACTTTCGACTATGATTGTGGGTCTTAGTCTCGATTCATATAGGTTTGAGCAAGGAAACAGCAGGAAGTTGTCCCGCTAAAGCCGAGTATACGAACTTGATGAGTAATTAATTTCACTACTTGATAAGATACGAGATCCAAGTAATAGTGAACCTGAAGAGCACGAGAATGATTTGATTTCTTTTTAAGCCAGCTGAGGAAATTGTATGTGTGAAATCCAACAATGCAACATTCTTCGTGGATATGGAAATCAAAGTCAGGAAAGGCATTAAAACTTAAGTGTGCAGATGGCATTACAATGAATAAACACAAACGAGATGAGCTGTTAAGATGAAAGTGGACGTACCTGAACAGCTTGTAAAAGAAGATCCAAATGTCTTTCATGTCGGCCCGTAGTGTAGAGTTCCATTTCCATGTATCGTGGAATAGCAAGAAGGTTTGTAGCTCGTTCAGGAGATTCACCATACTTAGCAAGGAGTGCTGGTATAGCAGTTATCATTGCTTCTGTCATACGACTACGTTCTTCGGCCAGGGCCCGAGCTTCACGAGAAGAGGGTGCAGCGCTGTTCCCTGTACCGGTAGTTGCACCACCTCGACCGCGTCCACCAGTCTCCAGTAAGCTCATGCCAGTCAATAAGTTGGCATTGGAATGTGAATGATGGCCGCCAGTCTGTACACAATTAACAATTTATAAATTACTATAGACTAGATTCATGCCTATTCACAAAATATTTCGTAGTATATAGTAAATAAAATAAAAATCAACAGACACAACATACTTGGAAGTGACTAACCTGTCGTCCCACTGGCGATTCCCCCGTTGCTGCTTGACGAACACAACAAACCATAATTTCGATCAAACTTGTTTCTTGATTTGCATCCATAGGTTCCTCACCTCTACCTGGTTCTTCAAGAAGCAAATCGAGCATAGCCTCCCAATCACGAAGCATTGGGCATAAATCCCATAAACTATCGACCAAATAAGTAGCATGTTCATGTAACTAAAATGAATTATCAGTTAGATAAATTACCAATCTGATTAAAAACGATGAGGCAAAACAAGTGAGTGGACCAAAATAATAAATCACCACTTTTAACTCTCTTATCTAAATAAATATAATAGTGTTAAATCAACTTATTAACTGATATTTGAAACGACTCTGAATTCTTTATTACTAAAGATATAATAATTTTCTTCTTTGACAGAATTGTTTGTATGGAATATCATAGTCTCTACCAATCTACCGACATATCAATCGTCTTAACCTTACTTTCTTACGTCTGCTACTCCCAATGGAGCATAGGCCGCCGACCAGCATTCTGCAACACACTCTGTCCTGGGCCCTCCTTTATAGTTCTGTCCAATTTTTTGTTCATTTTTCTCATGTCTGTCTCCATTTGTCAACGTAATGTGTTCTATGGTTTTCCTCTTCTTTGGCCTTGAGGATTCCAAGTGAGGGCTCACCTTGTGACGCAGTTGGGTGCTTTCCTCAATGTGTGTTCTATCTACTTCCAACGCTTCTTCCTCCGCCTGAATCTCGTTTGTTCTATCCCAAATTAGGTCGTCGCCGATAGTGCCTGGTCAACGGACCCGAGGTATTTTGCGTGGACATCAGGCAGTCTGAATCTTCCAACATGGCTCAGACCAGAAGTTAGCAACTTCAAGCACCGATGCCACGTTTTGGTTTGGCCGCCCCTAACTTTCTCCCAATTATCCCCTACACTAGTCAGCATTGCGCGTCGTGGTAATCGGTGTTCAGGCATACGCAACACGTGGCCCAACCATCTCAGTCGATGAAGATTCATAACCTCATCAACTGATTTACCATCATTCCCTAGTACCCTTCGTCTAACCTCACTATTTCTTACCCGGTGATCCCAACAGATGCGAGCAATATTTTTAAGGTATATGTGGTCAAATATTAGTAGCTTACGAGTATCTTCTACTCTTAAAGGCCATGTTTCGCAGCCGTATAGTAGAACGGAACGAACTGCCACGCAGTATACTCGTCCCTTAATTGATAGACGGATATCTCGCCTGCGCCATAGATGACGTAAGTTGGCAAAGGCTAAACGAGCTTTTCGAATCCTTGCTGAGATTTCGTCAGTTACCAACCCATTAGGGCTGATCAGACTTCCATGATAAGTGAAGTTGTCAACGCGTCCGATTACTTCACTACCTATCCTTAGTTCAGGTGTTGACGCAGACCAGTCCTGAAGCAACAACTTGCATTTAGAGGGAGAGAAGCGCATCCCAAACATTTTCGCATTGTTGCTCAGTGCTACCAAAAGACTGCGTTTTATCAGCGTCTTCACCAAACAGGACTATGTCATGTGCGTATTCTAAGTCGATAAGTGGACCTCCTGGTAGGAGATCAATGTTGGAGCATTCAGTCAATGAGAGCGTTATTTCCATCAGGATGTCTATGATGAAGTTAAACAAAAAAGGAGAAAGTGGACCGTCTTGGCGGTTGCAAAAGCAGATGACAGTTCGCCATAAGCTCTGACTCGACTAGTAGTGTTCGAGTGAAGAGCCTTCACAAGGTTTATGTACTTCTGAGGTACGCCTTTCAATGACAGACACTGCCACAGAACCTCTCGGTCAACAGAGTCAAATGCTGCTTTTAAGTCAAGGAAGATCACTATTGTCGGACGCCGATAAGTATGCCTGCTGAACGATTTGGTATAGTGTGCGTGCGTTGAAGGTTCAAATGTGTGGTTTGGAGCGAGGTTTCAGTAGACCTGGGACCGTGTTTTGAGCACTAGAATCGTTGGCTGTGGTGACACTTGAGGAGGAAGCTAAAAGAGGAAGTTTAGTGTATAAAGTCGATGTAGGAGGAATAATAGGAATTGAAGAGGTAGGTTGACTATGAATACAGTGGTCTTGAGTGCTGTTAGAGGTATGAGGGCGGTTATCACTTCCCGGTTGCTCACACCGTGGAAGAGTTCTGCTGGAGGCGCCTGAAAAGGAAATTGGATTAGAGGTGGTCTTAGTGACCTGGGAGCGTGACCGCAGTGCCCAAGGGACAGCTGCTTGAAGTCGGTCACATACAATCTTTTAATGAGTAGTTTTTGTGTTAGCTCCGTACTTGTTGAGTCCTTACCGCCAGAGACGGATATCCGTGGGATAAGGCGAGGTGTGCATTTTTAGGGTCGACCTTTTCTAACCCCACCCCTCCTTGTGGGAAGGCAGCATCGCTGTCATGCTGGTTGTCTGAAGGAAACACCTTACTGCTGTCACACCTCTGTACAGTCAGCAGTACTACTTCGCCTTCGTACCTTGGTTTTGTTGCTTTTAGTCTTACCGCTCTTCAACCGACCTGTCTGGCATGGTAGGACCTTGAGGAACGGTTGTTCCAGCCAGTATAGCTCAGTTGCTTCATCACGATAGGCAAGCCCGACCACCACGTCAAGGTAGCAACAACGGTCAGGTCATTTGTAAATATGCTGCTCTTGCTTTACCAATCCGTGCCTTCACATCTGCATCAGATCCACCGTGTTCATCGATGATACTGCCCAAATATGTAAAGGTTTTTACATTTCCCAAATCTTCTCCGTCAATTGTGATTGGATTAGTGCATGCTGTGTTGTATCTGAGAATCTTGCTTTTCCCTTTGTGTATATTGAGACCTACTGCTGCTGAGGCTGCTGTTACACTGGTCGTTCTCTCCTGCATTTGTTGTTGCGTATGCGATAGAAGAGCCAGATCATCTGCAAAGTCTAGATCGTCCAACTGCATCCCATGCTTCCCTTCAGATGTTGATGTCTTCATAATCCAGTCGATCACCAGGAGAAAGAGAAAGGGTGAGAGTAAGCAACCTTGCCTGACACCGGTCTTTACTGCGAACGACTTTGTCAACTGTCCTCCATGCACGATTTTGCAGTTCAACTCGCTAGAAAAAACGCTAACCAGAAAAAAACTCGTCTTGACCTAACTGCATTTAAATCATAAGCTAACTTGATGAGATTTCATTAAAACCGAATAATCCATTCATCTGCGTATTTTACCATTGAAATCCATCAATGTGTTATTCATTTAAATTATTTAACGCCTAAAATGTTGATATTTAATGACGTTCAAGTACGTTCTAAACGTGATCATCTATGAAACTCCAGATTTTCAGTTAGTTACTTCAAACAAAATATAAATATTACTCAAAAGGAAACACGAATTTATTAAAAGGAATTTTTACTTTGAAAGTACGACTTTAAGCAATTAGTAACTTCATTATAAACAAAAACGAGGAAAACTGGTGTTGCTTTTTTCTAACTTACTTCACTCTCGATGAAAAATTGCACGAGGTCACGAATGAGTGGTGTATTTTCACTACGTTTTTTACCTTTTCTGGTCCTAGTGAGAGGAGCATGGGAATCAACTTCAAAAAGTTTTAAAGTTAAAAATTCACCAGCTGCTTGTGCCAAAGGCCTGTGAGTGCAATAAACCAACTCATATATATTTTCACAATCCTTGTCTTCAAGTACTGAGTCACTATGCCTAAGAAACACAAATAGATGAGACTGATAAATAAGCAATGTGATAATTTTTATAAACGTAAAATAACTAATCTAGTAATACAATGCATTGTTTCCGATTGTAAATAAAAACATTACAAAAAGAAACTAGTGGATAAATTGAAATTAATAAGGTTAGGGTGATGACAGAATTATGTGTAAAAACTCAGATACTTGGTGTAATACACAGATGACAGAGGATTTTTTTATAAGATCTATGAATTAAGACATGAATGAATTTGCGCGATAACCCTTTTAAAAAATAAACTCACTCACTAGAGATTCCAATATAAACCACTCTAACTGTTAGGGTTAATGATACCACCACCCCAAGTAGGTGGGGTGGAGCTGTAACCTGGGTATCAATGATTAAAAGTCGGACGCTTTAACTACAAAGCCACCGCTCTCCTTGGTTGGAGAACTCATGGGATTATTATGGTTTAATGATTATAGATAAGCGAGAAATCCAGTGCCACAGAACTTGGTAAATGTTATCTATAACCAAAAAGGATGATCTACTTAGTGTTGGGGACAGTTGTCTTTAATTATAAGTCCGACAAGAAGATTTGGACCGCTTGATCCTACTCAGTTATCGATGAGTGATGTGCTAGGCTGCTAAAATATCACCCGACTCGAAAACAAATCTTGAAGTAGATATTGACGATTATCGCATGTATGAAAAATACATAGGCGAAGGTTTGCTATCAGCTGCTAAAACTATATATGAGCGTAGGGTGAGATGTATGAAAGTTATCTAAACATAACAGTCATATCCCACACATATTTCCAGTATCGAGATTACCGGGCAAGTAAGTGAGGTTAGACGCATGGTATTAGAGAATGATGGCAAACCAATTGATAAGGTTGTAAATCTTCATCGACTGAGATGGTTGGGTCGTGTTACATATACCTGAACAGCGATTACCACGACACGCAATGCTGACAAGTGTTGGGGATGGTTGAAAGTTAGGGGTGGACAAACCAAAACGTGGCATCAGTCCACAAAGTCACTAACATCTAGTCTCAGCCATGTTGGTAGATGCTGGCTACTTAGTTGAGGTCCGCGTAACTATCGTAACCAATGGTTGGAGACTCTGAGTGACATGGATCAGAACCGATCACAGTGGCGTAAGTGTGTTCACTCTCTGTCTTCCCTTAAACTGTGAGATTAAGATTGCTTCATATCTTTCTTTCTATCAACTAATTCTTTCTTCCCGTATCGTATCCCTATATGCAATCTTTCTTTCATGTATTACTACCATTGAATTAACTACTTTTATGAATCCGAAGTTCATCTTGTTGTGCTAATGAGGTATGGCAACTTGGACCGATGCATATATATACGTGGTTCAACGTTGTAGCCGACTGACTGACTGATTGTTCCAGCAACCCAGATTAGGTGAAATTTATCTTCGAGTATGGATGGATTCCAGATTTATGTGAAAATTTAGTTGTTATTAAGAATTCCGCCTGTGGCAGGGAGATTCTCTGATAGCAATGACAACGATAAGGATCTATTCTAAGACAAGCTGCAATTGATCACATTAAAGTGCGCAGGAACGGACCTGATCATCCTGGTGGGAGATCTAAACGCCCAAGTTGGAACGGACAACTCTGGGTATGAAGATATCATGGGACATAGACTAGGAGAAAAAACAAGAATAATGAGTGATTCGCACAGCTTTGTAAATTCAACAAATTGGTTAAAGGTGGCACGATACTCCCCACACTCATACACAGGGCTACATGGGTCTCACCGGACCGCACCACGAAGAACCAGATGGATCATACTTGCACCAGTAAAAAATTCAGGTCAATGGGAAACGTGAGAACCAAGATGAAACTTAAGGTAAAGAAGCATTGAACAACTGGACAAACAGCATTAAAAAGGTTCAATACAACCTTCCTACAAGATACTGACAAACTCAACTTATTCAAGATAACTCTCAACAACAAGTCCCAAGCTTTACAGGATCTACTAAAAGAGGAAACTACTACAATTCGAAAGGGGTGAAAGAGGTACCAACTTCAAAGTGTTAGGAGCTGCTGAGCTGCAACAAACATCATCATAAGAAATGGACCTCTATGGAAATCCTAGACAAGAAAGGAAGAACAAGAAAACAGCAATTAACGATCGTCGAACAAAGACAAAAAGTCAAGGTACAAATTGAATACACAGAAGAAAACAAGTGAGTGAAGAGCATTAGAGCCAACAAAGAGAAGACCTAGCAACGACAGTAGAAAAAGCTGCAACAGAAGGAAATAATAAACAAACATATGGTACAACGAAGAAATTAGCAATGAAATACACTAAACCAGTGCGACCAGTCAGGAACAAGGAAGGCAAAACAGAACAGAGGAACAGAATTCTTCGAGGAACTCTTGAACTGACCAGCTCCCTTCAATCCACCGCACACCGAAGCAGCACATATACACCATCCTACTGATGTCACTCCACCAACGATAGAAGAAACCAGGAAGATCATTAGACAAGTCAAGAGAGGGAAAGTAGCATGGCCTGAAAATCTATCAGCCGAAGTACTGAAGTCAGACAGTGTGGTGTGTGCTACTTATGTAGACATAAATAGTATATGATGTCAGTCGTGAACGGAGAGACAAGAAGATCGAACAGTAAACAATGAAGACAGAATGCAATTTGTATGAAAATGCAAGAACAATGAAGTCTGAGTCATCTTGAGACAATTGATGCACATTTTGCAAATTGGGCATTTAATATGTGGTTGTCAGATTTTATTAACAAGTTCTGTAATTTGTTGTCAAATACATCCGATTGTTCCGCAGTAGTGTTCTGTTCACTACAATTTAACCATCATATAACTTAAATAAAATGTTTAGATGTGACTTATTTTAATCAAAGTAATGCTACGCACGAAATTTTTTTATTTGGAAGTGTTGAGTCCTATGATGTACATGGTTAAAAGTAATTAGTCCCTTTGATAAATTTCGGTGGTGTAATAAGAAGACAAAGAATATCAGAACAATGTGATATATTAGTGCAGTACATTTCGAACAATCTGATCACACATATACTTATTAAGAACATTTATATACATAAAGAAATAAACGGTCAACTAGACTAGAAATAGAGGGTAAGAGGAGACGAGGATAATAAAGAAAATAATATGAAAATAATTTGAAGATCGAACAGTAAATAATGAAAACAGAATGCAATTTGTATGAAAATGCAAGAACAATGAAGTCTGAGTCATCTTGAGACAATTGATGCACATTTTGCGAATTGAGCATTTACGAAATGGTTGTTAGATTTTATTAACAAGTTCTGTAATTTGTTGTCAAATACATTCGATTGTTCCGCAGTGGTGTTCTGTTCACTACAATAGTGTAAACACGTTCCACATTCTATTCAGGAAGATTAGGGAGGAAGAACAAGTGCCGATTGACTGGAAAAAAGAATACCTTAACAAGATACCAAACAAAGATCCGAGTAAACGTGAGAACTACAGTGGCATCACACTACTATAGGTACCAGGGAAAGTCTTCAATAGTGTTGTTGAATCGGATGAAAGATTCAGTAGATGTCCAACTTCAAGATCAACATGCTGGATTCCGTAAGGATCGGCCGTTGACAGACCAAATCGCGACGCTACGGATCATTGTTGAACAATCGATTGAATGCAACTTGTAACTTCACATCAACTTCCTTGACTATGAGAAAGTATTTCATAGTGTGGATAAGAGAACCTTATGGAACCTTCTGCGACACTATGATGTACCTAAGAAGATCGTCAGCATCGTCCGGAATTCATACGACGGACTACACTACCTACCCGTGTATGAAGGATAACTGACAGAAGTGAGGATCGGAGTCAAACAAGACTGCCTACTCTCACCCTTTCTCTTTCTTCAAGTGGTTAGCTGGATTATGAAGACCTCCACATATGACAGGAAGCACGGAATACAGTGGACAGCTCGGAATCAACTAGACGATACAGACTTCGCAGATGACCTGACCCTTCTATCCCATACACAAACGCACACCAACAAATGCAGCTCAAGACAGGAGCCTCTGCATCAATAGGCCTCAACATACACAAAGGGAAGAGAGATATCCTTAAACACAACACAGAGAACACCAATCCGATCACACTTGATGGAGAAACTCTGGAAGATGTGGAACGTCTCATGTATCTGGATAGCATCATCGATGAACAGGGAGGATCTGATGCAGACGTGAAGGTGAGGATTGATAAAGCAAGGACAGCATTCCTACAGTTAAAGAATATATGCAACCAATATCAAAGTCACAATCTTCAATACGAACGTCAACACAATTCTACTGTATGGAGCTGAAACTTGCAGAATTACCACAACGATCATCAAAAAGTTACAAGTATTTATAAACAATTGTCTACGCAAAATATTCAGTGTCCGTTGGTCTGACACCATCAGCAACCAACCTCCAGTTGAAGAGGAAATTAAGGAAAGACGGTGGGAATGGATACAACACACATTGAGGAAACAATCAAACTACATCACGAGGCAAGCGCGAACTTGGAATCCTGAAGGGAAACGAAAAAGTATGTTGAAAATCGGAAGCAGACATGGAAAGAATAAAATAGCAACTAGGAAAACTGGAAAGGATTGTTCAGGACAGAGTTGGATGGAGAATGTTTGTGGGTGGCCTATGCTTCTCCATGGGGTGCAACAAGCGTAAGTAATTAGGGTTTGACTTTCTACTTGGAGAATTCCTGATCGAAATAAAGTAGACAAACAACTTACTTTTGTATTTAGGAGTTCCTGGTTCGGTTTGGGCACCCGGGCAGTATCACAGCCCTCACACATGTCAAATGAGATTTGTGTGGAGCATATATATTTGGTGCCTCCTTGTACCAATATCTATGTGTTAAAATAAATAAATAATCCTGACCGAATACAGTCCTCTGAACACTCAATCCAAAATAAAATGTTACGTCAGAGCTGATCTACTTCAGCAAGTTTTCCTATGACGAGTGATGCATTTGAATTTGTTCATCACTTCGTACATACTACATTTAGGAAGAAATCAGTTTCAAAATTCATATGTGAACTTCGTTCACTATCTTTTTCACTTTGATTAATTAATTCACTACGAAGTTAACGAATCGATCTTAAAGCATTTTTACTGTGTTAATTACTTACTTCATTGTTATTTTGCACCCAAGTGATGATTACTCAATTGATAACCAGTGAAATTCATCGAAATGCAGCTTCATTAATTTATGTGTAAATTTTCTTTTGGGGTTTTCATTAATATACTTACTCAAAAAGACTTCTCTTTGCTTTATTCGAACTCTGTAAGGGATTACTATTGAAGTGCTGTGTATGAGTCATCCGGTCTATTCAACAAAGATTACGTTCCGTATTAAAAGAATCCTAAATAGTTTGTAATTCGGTTCACAACGGTTGTCAAACGAAAAAAAATACAGAATGATGCGTGATAGCAGTGGGTTTTTAATAAAATTAGGATACAGAGACGATATAATCTTAAGAAAATAGCCAGTTACGGATAGAGTTAAATTATAGTTCTGTATGATTTCAAGACTCACTTCAATATACAAGAAACTAGTTTCACAGCTTGAACTGCTACTTCAGTTTCTTTATCAAGTGTCATATCCACAAGACGTGATTTAAAACGAGAAGTGAAAAGCTCCAGACTATTGATGAGAGCAGGATCTTCATACAAGGGCTGTAAAGCACGAAGGCACTGAAGACGAACATCTCCAATTCTATCATAAAGTGTCCAACCAACATATTTTAAGTAACTATCATCTAAAAACATAGCTGGATAACGACGCATCCAGACACCAATTTCTTGCATGCATATTGTTCGTATTTCTGCCTGGCTATCTCTGAAAACAAACAAACAAACAAAAACGACCTGTAAAGTAGGAAATCCTAAGTAAGATTTATAAGAGTTGGGGTTATTACAAACCTGTTAAAACGTTTGAGATCATCACCACTACATTACAGCATATACACATTAGGTCAGACCTGTTCACAAGGTAAAATACGTCAGTATAAAACATATTCTGTACTTAGTTGAATAAATTGTCTAAAGAACGGAAAAATATCTAGCAAACTGTTTCTGGAAACGTACTGACATATAGTTAAGGGACTGCATCATCAGCATTAAACTAGTCGATTTCAATTTCGTAATAACTAAGGCATAACGGAAAGCTTTAGTTGTAATACGCTTACTTGTCAGTTAACATTATGGAAAGATTTCGCATCTTGTTTTAGTTATAACGTTTTTTTAATCTTACAGAAAATTCAAGCAATGTTACATTTTTTATTTATTTAAACACATAAACATTGGTACAAGGCGGCATCAAATAGGTACGCGCCACATAGATCATTCGGTTTATGTGAGGGCTGGAATACTGTCGGGATGCCCAAACCGAAGCAGGTGATTTTCTTAGAGGATCACACCCGGAGCCTTGTCATATACCTAAATTGACAGTAGTAGAAGTAGTGGTACAAACTAATTCAGTGAAGTACCTACTTTATTCAAAGATATTGGTGGTCCTACAAAACGTGAGAAATAATGCAAATGAACTGTTAACTTCAACTGACAGCAAACATATTTCAGTGGAATACTGATACAGAATGATACTGACAAAACTAAGCATCTTCTAAATGTTTTTTGGCAAAACGATTTAATTCAAAGCCACAAGAACAGGTTATATTAATTAACTCTAAATATAAAATCTAATTTATCGACTTTTAGGTGACATATTTTATTAGTTTCCAATGAAGAAATAGTTCACTCCATAAAACCTTAAGTCCTTACACTCAAATTTACCTGTATCGATGAACGAAAACACCTTTGAAAATGTATACAAGCATATTTTTGACTTCCTCCATATTCTCTTCTAATTCTTGTCGACGTTGCATTAGCACTTCAAGTCTGTCAGAAGCACGTCGGTTCTGAACTTTTGATCTTTCAGCTTCATACTGACGTTGTGTGTTATCTCTGTTGATACTAACATTGAGCGCAACATCAACAAGAGCAGTCATCATTTTCATAGCAGCCAATGTACTGGTATGTCTAAACGCCCGAACCTATAAACGAAATGTTAAAGTAGAAAACTTTATCCATATTCAACATTGACTGACAATTAAGTACACACAAAAGGCAACTACACCATTTTACCTCGAGTGGAAATGACTTTAGGTAATGTTTTTCTTAAGAAACTACAACACTACAAATTTTATACAATCATTAGAACTGTTTAATAATTGCATCTGTATATGGGTAATTACTGAAAAGTATATCTTACCTGTGAGTCAGTAAGACCTGTCAATAAAGAAATCACTTGGTCAATCATGCATTGATCGTAAATTATGCTATATTGACACTGACGAATTAATACTTGGATGAATTCGACAAAATTTGAACGAAAGCGTTTCCAAACTGGGCTTGATTGTATAAGTGGGTATTCACCCGAGTCTTCATCAAACTCTTCAGTCATTCGACGAATAATATCAGCATGTGACAAGCGACTATACATTTCCGGTGTTACTTTTCCTATAGTAAGAAAGAAGATATTTTAATATTTAAGTACTATACCTTTAACGAGTAAGAATAAAGTTATTTGAAACCCATAACTTAAACGTCTAAGCCAATGAAGTGGCGACTCACATCCCATAAATAGTAGTTGAAGTCAATAGGAATTTCAGACAATATTTGGATGAAGCTTCGATCCTATTTACACAACGAAGGTTTTTATTATTCGTTATACTTTTTTTCCGTAAAGTATTACAAGAAAAAATTTTCACTCATGAGGCATGTCCATGTATTTTTCCAATATATATATATATATATATATATATATATATATATATATATATATGCCCCTTAAAGGAAAATCGTCTGGACAAAATAGCGGGACATTACTAGATTTGCATTATCCGAAGTTGTTTTCTACGTGATTTTCTTTTCTCAAAAAACAAGTAGTTTATAAAGGCTAACTTTCCCCTCTTATTTGTGCGAGGTTGTATACTCATTGTTCAATTTATTAATTCGCGTTAGATTCGCTCTTAGATCATTAATATCACAACCGTACTATCCCTAGCTTGAAACATAACATCCCCACACAAAATGTATACAGAAATTATATTAAACAATCATATACATTATACACAGAACTTCACCTTTGCAGCCACTGCATGAAATAAAGAACTGGATCAATTCCAACATAGCTGGTTCACGACTTGTCTTATATTGTTCGATCCAATCATCAACAACTGTTTGTGGAGCTACTCTTCCCGATCGTATAGCTCCATAGAGGGTATGCTCGTCTTCGTCAAGTAAGGTTCCAGCACCTACAAAACAGTAGATAAATAATTACATTAGAGATAAAAGGCAAAACAATAAGAATAGCATTTTGGCATTTGCTCTTCAAATATTCAACGTTTCACAGTAAATCAATTGAGATGGACTCGGTTATATTTGAATAGATGAAAAGACTTTCACAAGCTAGTATTTAGCGTTAAAGACTAGCGTTTGCAAACTCACTTTTAGATTGTTTTACTAATGTCTGGAACTTGTTGCAATTAAACTGGAATGTCGGGGATGTAGTGATTTGATTGTAAATAAAGACTGTGAAGAACGAAAAAGGTTGAGATGAGGAAAAAGTTGTAAAATAGACATTTATCGCCATGAATCAAGGACAGAAGATGCGGGAAGTTTACGGGTTTATTCGAAAACAAACACTCGACTGGGGAACAAACATTTACGTAACTCAAGAGTATCATTTGACTTACCGGCATCAAAAGTTGGATGAGTTGGGGGTCTCCCCCGCCGCTTTTTAGCTGGAGGTACATAGGGAGCCGGAGGGGCTTGAAAACCAGTAGAAACATGAGGATATTGATTACCAGAATGGTGAATATCGTTATCTCCGGAAGCACTGTTATTTAATTGCATGGATAAGTGATGCCCCGTATACTGAGAATTGGACAATTCAGTTGTGTGGGCGGTCGTCTGCGGATTTTGCATCTGGGATGAATCTCCATGATAAGGATATACAGTTTGCTGTAAATGAGATGTATGAGTAAGGACATGTGACTGATCTTGCAGATGATAGGCAGTGTTATAACTATCTTTCGAAATTGGTGGGGAATGATGCGATCCATGATGATCTATAGGAGAATATCGGGGATTTGAAGTGACAGTGGGATTATTGGGTTGCAAAGGATGGGGAATTTGTTGGTGGGCAGGTATTTGAACGCGCATTTGGTTTACCTGGTTCAGAAGACTTGTATCATGATTGGAGTGTGGTTTTGTTAACCGCTCATTGCTGTCATATACTTAAGTGGATAGAAACGAGTAAAATGTTTGGAAATATGAGAGATTTACATCACACATGATAAGAATTATTTAGCATAACTGATCATAATGAACCCTTCTTATCAGATCGAAATACGGAGTTACAGATTTTAAATGTGCAAATTAGAAGAACAACAGTATTTTATGAATCGATGTAAGTCAATAATAAAATCATTGTGAATAGGTCAACACAATGCTTAGCGACTGATAGATGCATTACCTAACTGCACGAACGGAAATAGGTAGACAGCTGGTCAAAATTTAGATCCAATTGCATGCGGACGATCTAAACTACTGGTGAATGATGGGTGCAACGGTATATGAAACAGACGTTAAACTCATCTGTTTTTACATTGTAAAATGTTAGTGAGCGAAACAAAATTTGAAAATCTCGAATGGTATGAGCAAGTAGTTAACTAAGTAGGGGGAAATGCTGTAGCTCCGTGTTTTGGACATAAAAGTTAGTTACTGGACCATAGGTTCACATCTTTTCCTACCTAGTACACTCTACATAACCATGTAGTATCTCCAAATATGATATAATAGGTGGAAATATATAAGCCTCCATAAAATATGGCCTAGAGCTGAGTACAAAAATTCAAACCTGGTAGAAGAGTTACCTTCCTATGTCTTAACCCAAAACCGCCCGATGAATTTCCATGAGAAAGATTTTTAGTTTGATCTGGACCAAGCAAATTTACAAACTTACCGACTAAAGGACGCTTCCTGTTCCAAACTTCACATTTAACTCTGAAATTTCTTATTTGACTTTACTACATCCAAGACACAAGAATAGACAGTTTATTTACATAGATCCTTAGCGGTCATATATTGCATTATCTTACCCAAAGTACTGAGCTTTAGATTATTTCGTACCCTCATTTTTTTAATCCATTTATTCATGTTGAACTGTATTTTCCGATATTTCGTATTTTTATTGTCGACTGTACTACTTTTTTGACTATGATATCCATCTTGTTAATTCCAATTCACCCAGTTAAGTTAGTAAAGCAACTTGCGTGTACTCCTACTTATCACAAGCTCTATGGTTATTATGACTGATGATACTACTTCGACTTTTGTTACTATCACCAGTAAAATCAGATGGCAAATGAATAGTTTTTGCATTGAAGATTACGTCATTGAACCCTTTGAGACAAATAGTCTTAGGAATGCACAAGTAATAACGTGGTGTTCAAGGTATTTAGACTATCCTATGAATGTCATTAAATGGAAATAACTTTGAAGCTGTATCACAGTTACTCAGTAGTAAGTCAAAAGTCGCCCCCAAATGCACTGGTACGGCCGAGAGTAAGGAGAGTCCGCTCTCTCTCGAAATGCTCTCACATGGCCACACGTATGCAAACACTGCTAAGGAAGTCCTACTCACTACCTCGCGGCACTACTGTTGTTTACGAAATCGAGAGGACAAAAAGTGAATGTCCGGAGCTTTAACTGGGTTGGTGTACACGGAGGATCTATCAAATGGAGTTGGAAAACCCTGATTCCAAACCAATGGCGAACATGGGTTTTAAAATCCTAAGGGAACAAATGGCGTATGAACCCATTGTTGGTCACCAACTAACATGGGACGGTATCTCCTTACGTTGCTTCACTGCCTTGTAGACCAGACCTTTAGGTCGGAGGCTCCGGGTGTGGCCCCTAAGAAAACCACCTGCTTCGGTTTGAGCACTCAAGCAGTATCAAAGCCCTCACATAAATCAATCATTACTACTAGCCTCAACGTTATTGAGGTGCATATGTATTCGGCGCCCTCCTTGTACCAATGTTTGTGTTCAAATAAATAAAAGTTCGATAACGTGGGGTTTAATGTCATGAGAGACAGCACTTATTGGATAGACAAACAATACACACAAAATTGTAGGACGCTGAAATCTAAACCGCAACATGACACTTTTACCACTAGCAAGCACAACTTTAACAGTTGTCGATTGGTTCTAACGTTGTCTTTGGATCATATAGACCAGCACGTCATTCACAACCAACTGGATACTAATTTATACGATAACCGAAATGGACAAAAACTGGCAACAGATACTCAATGATCAAGCTTTATAAATTAAACAATGCTCATATATCATGACCAGTCAGTCAGCTACAACGTAAGGAAGATAGAGTGAATACACCTACGCCATTGTGATTGATTCTGAGCCGTCACATTCTCCAACCATTGGTTACGATAGTCACGCGGAACCAAACCAGGTAGCCCTCACCTGTCTACATGGCTCAATCCGAAATTCGGTGTTTCCATAGACTGATGTTATATCTTAGTTTGGCCTCCCTGAGCTTTCTTCCAACCTACCCATACACCAGCTATTATCGCGAGTCAAGGTAGTCAGTGGATGGGCATACGCGATACATGTTTTACCTATCTCAGTCGATAAAAATGCATTAACCCATCAGTCGGTTTGCAATTATTATTCACAACTATGCGTCTAACCTCAGGATGGCGAAATTGATGGTTCTGAAGTACACAAAGGATAGATCGAAAACTATGACCGAATACTAACAACCTATAAATGTACTCAATACTAGAAGCCATGTTTCACAGGTATAAATCAGAAAGTAAATTTCTGATCTGTATGTTCATTTTCCCGTTGATTGACGGACATCTCATTAATGTAAGTTGACAGAGCTAATCGAGCTTTTGTCTGACACCAATTGACTGGGGTCGTTGAGACTTGGGTAAAGTTACTGATACACTCAACTACTTTGCCTTATACTTGTTTCAAGCGTTGACGTGGACCAGTCCTGAAGCATTATTTAGAACTTATAGGAGAGAAGTTAATTTCAAATATGCCAGCATAGTTGCTCAAAACGGTCAAAAGATCAAATAACTTGAGAATAAATAACAATTTAGTTCCGTTTTAATAGTAAACAGGTGTTGTGACAACCTAAACTTTTGAGCCAACGATCTAAAACTGAATACGATTGCAACTCAATTTGATCTCAGTTATGACTTAATGCAATAGCACCTTAACAAATGCTGTTAGAGAATAAGGCAACATGTCAGAGTAGCGTTTACTTTCAATAGGCGCTATTACTGGTATTTTCTCAGTTTGCTGCACTGAATTCATGGGGTTTAGTTCTTAATAAGCGAGTAGATGGATATTAATCATCTAACATTCAATGGGTTGCCACTTATAGTAGTAGTAATATTATAAGCTCCTAGTGACCATATAAGGGAGCTGATTGACAAGAACAGTCTGTGATGCTATGAAAAGCAGGATGTCACTTTTCGAATTCAGCAGTACCATCTACTTTACCATATAACAGTAATAATATATCTCCATGTGGATTCTAAATGACACTGAATTCACAAATAATTGGGAATGCGTAAATTCGCAATACATTCACAAAACATGAATCTTTCAGTACTACACTACCTAGGTTGGTTGATCTTTTGTGGGTAACTAAACACAAGACAGACTAATTTATATTCATAAGTGTCCACTTCTAAAAGAGCCTACTTCATACGTTAAAAACAACCAGAATATCTGATACGATATAGACAATACGTAGAAATGACTAACATCAAACACGTTGACATGCATTCGTATGTGTAACTAAGCTCACCAATAATGAGCAAATCACTTTGGACAGATAAAAGCGTAAACAATTCGTCAAATGGAATACAAATCCATATTCCCAAACTATACCTTGAGGAGCGAAATGAGCTGATCGCTGATGTTGAATTTGCTGTTGCATCAAAATCTGCTGGACAGATGAGGTCGAATTGACATACGAGTCATGAACATGACCAAAATGATGGCCTTGTGACTGGATGCCAAACTGACTCGGCAGGCGGGTATTAGCACCCTCGTGTTGCAGATGCCCCGAACTAGGATGGGAAGACAGTGAACCACCAGAGACATGAGGGTGATGGGCATGGTACTAAAAAACACATTTACAATTTTGATTAATGCGTATGTCAAATGAAATCTGACAACTTCAGGTAATATGAAATGTACACTAGTGCACACAAGGTCGTACAAGAGTCTAGTATTCGAAATACACGATAAAAATAAGGATTAACTGTAAATAGATTTAAAATATCGGCTACGGAACAGTTGTCATCCCACAGAAATGCCAAAAAACATTTAAAATAGACCAACCAACCTGATCCATTTGAAGGTTTACATCCATGGACGCAGCCATATTGTTTGATTTCATCGATCCCTGGTGAATTGTCAATTAAAACAATGTTACATGTGCAGATATCTTTCGAAGACATTTCGAAGTAACCGGAAAGCACAGCATGATATTCGTTGTTATCAGCTTCACCACCAGCTCACATGTATATTGTAGATTTAGCTCGAAGACTATTTTCATGTATATATCGTTTCACTGAGTATGGGGTTTTCGAGGTTAAGTAACTGACAAATTTCTGAATCGACAACCCAGTAGAAGTGTTCCCTTCGTTTATTTTGTATCAACTTCAAAATACCATGGCTGTCTCAACGCACCCGCTGGTGTACGTCAATTCAGAAATGAATACTTATAATTGGTGTTGTAATAACGTCGTTTGTGTTGTGCGGTTATCAAAGCAGCCACGGTACCTGGATACGAATAAGTAGTAATTCACGTCAAGTACCAACCGTGCGGTATGACTTTGACGTTGGCTGGTTGGTCACACCATTCCCGTCTAACTCGACTAGGCCCACAATCATTCGACAAAGACCATGTACATTGATTATCTACACTGGTAAACAAGACTTCGGATTACGCAACCTATTAATATAATCTTTATGATTGGATTTTATGCTTACTCTTTTTTGTCTGTATTGTTGCTCAGCCTTGTCATTTACTGCGAATATTCATTGTTTTCTCCCATTTTCATCAGTATTCGAATTTGACTAACTCGATCGTTTGAGGAAAACAAATTATTCAACAACTATCGTAACCAGATATCATGGTTCTTTAAAAATCACTAAAAGCATATGAGCGCTACTGAGTGATATAACTGTTAAAATATGAACCACTCATAAGTTTATCCACAAGGCAACGCAAGTGCATATCTTTCTGTAGCTTATGTATGTATGATTGTAATTCATCTTCCTGCTTAATCACTTTGAACACAAATTTCTGTCACAAAATTTGTACTAGGAATTTAGTTTTACTTGACAACTTCCCACACAATTTTCAGTTGCTGAGTTCCACAAAATGCAAATGCCAGATATTTACAATGAGTTTGGATCACTAATTTCCTATAGTTACAGATTTAGATTAGATTTTTCATTCATTCAGTGCTACGCATCTGGCACAAATTGTTCTTGGATCTATGCAAATTCAGTCTACAACTCTGTACTAAACCAAGAATTAAATTAAGAATACTTTGCATATGATCCGAATCTTGGGACTTACGTCATACCGAAATTCTGTCTCTGGAAGTTTATATGATATACATTTTAGAAATTTCTAAACTGCATCATAAGGCATGGAATCCTGAATGGAAACGAAAAAGAGAAAGACCTAAGAACATAATGAATCAAAAATCGGAGGCAGACATGAAAAGAATAAATAGCGACTAGAAAGAACTGGAAAGGATTGTCCAGGACCTACTTGAATGCATGATGCTGCTAAATGGCTTATGCTTCTCAATGAGGAATAACAGAAATAAGTATGTAAGCAAGAAAGTTAGCAAGTAAAAAGGTAAGAAGTGTAACGTGGTGTCGAGTTGAGCTTGACTATGAATACCGCTACAAGACTACGTGCCAATTAACCAATAAGATCCCCGTAGGCCAATATCAGAAGACAGATGATGGCTGTAGTCGACATGTATTTGTTGGCGATCTCATGGTATCGAAAGAATACCGAGATCGTGCCAAAGGAGTACAAGTGTGGTTACTGAGCGTAACCGGATTCGTACAAGTTCAAAGTCAACGGGAGAGAGAGTAAGTATAGTGGCTGTCATTAGCACAGTGAAACAAACAAGCACTATAAAACAATCACTGGTACAATTGGTTATAATAATAATTGTTTTCATTGAACCAATCGCGTTCTGTTGACAAAAGTAGGTCACTACAGGAGCCGCCCGCCAGAAAGGGTTTACACTTTCGATAGTTAGCGGTTTGGTTCGTGGGACTGATCGACAGAAGTGCGGTTGTAGGACGAAGGAAATTGGCGGAACAGGAAGTGATCGTTGATCCTCGAGTTGCCAACGAAGGTCTTTTGCGCAGAACGGTACCAGACGTGTGCTGTATTTGTTGGTCGAATTAGCATACCACACCAGAGTGGTTTGTATCCAGGATCTGATGATTGCGTTCGTAGGGATGCGAAACAGAAAACGCTGCAGACGTAGGACGAAACCACGTTGAGCCAAGAAACCGGACGCGACCATAACGACCAAGCGTATGCCAGGCGAATTCGAGACCAGATAATCGACTGAGTGCGTTGACTAGAGCATGGGTGGCCAAACCAGCTTTTGCCAAAGTTGACTGAAGTCGACGTTATCAAACGGGCGATGGTCGGAGGCGTGGGCTCAGGATACAAAAAAAAGAAAAGTGTAGCATGCGTGTAGTATAGGAATAATCCTACACCGTATCCGTTATTGACTGTGCGTTTAGTCGCGAAAGCGTACGGGTAATCGTACTCGGCGACAGAAACGTGAGACGGTGGTCTCGTTCGTACTTCGTGAGCCTGCGATCTCATCCGAGGTCATGGGCGGCGTGGTCTGCTGATCTGGACGTGAGACGGAAGTCTCGTCCGTAGATGGTGCAGATGACGCGTGCTGTTGACCGGGACGTGAGAACGAGGTCTTTGATGTATCTAGCGTGGGATCCGAGGTAGACGTAGAGATCCCGCTAGAAGGTTTGGTAGGTCTAGCATTGAGTCTCAAGTTATCGGGTAGGGCACTGTCATCGACGTGTGCTGGTTTGAGACGATCAATGCTGACGATCTCGACGCGGCCGTGTCGATCAACCTTGAAGGTCTTTTCGTGACGAGAGATCATGTGAAAAGGGCCTTCGTAAGGCTGTTGTAGAGGTTTGCGTACCGAATCTACTCGTATGAAAACATGTGAACAGGTAGATAACTCTCGAGGGAGAGCGACCTGTCGATGTTGTATTCGAGTTGACACCGGAGACAGCGTTCGCATAAATGCAAACAGTCGATGGACGTAGTCTGATTTACCGAAATCATTACTGCTCCGTGGTGTGAAGAATTCCCCAGGCAGACGCAATGTCGTGCCGTATACAAGTTCAGCGGCGGAACATTGGATATCGGCCTTCATACTCGTTCTGATGTCTAAGAGAACGAGCGGTAAGGTCTCGTACCAATTGTCGTTTTCGTGTGCTCGAAGAGCACTTTTAAGTTGGCGATGAAACCTTTCGACTAAACCATTCGATGCTGGATGGTAGGCGTTAGTACGTATGCGTTCCGTACCAAGCAGCCTGGTCAGTGAGGAGAATAGTGCGGACTGGAATTGTTGTCCTCGGTTAGTCGTGACAGTTGAGGGACAACCGTACAATGCTATCCATCGTTCTACAAAGCGGTGAGCAACTGTCTCCGCCGTAATAGACGTGATGGGAATAGCTTCGGGCCATCTTGTAAAACGGTCGATGCACGTGAGTATGTGATCATACCCATGCGATGGTGGCAATGGTCCTACAATGTCTATATGAACGTGATCGAAGCGAGCATCAGGCGTAGCGAACGTGCCAATGGGGGCAGCTACGTGCCTGTGCACTTTTGATCGTTGACACTGTAAGCATTGCTTTACCCACATACGAACATCTTTATTCACGGACGGCCAGACGTATCGTGCAGCGATGAGACGGAATGTGGCTGCGATACCTGGATGAGACAATCCATGAAGGGCATCGAAGACGAGACGGTGATAGGCAGAGGGTACGATGGGTCGAGGAAGACCGGTAGAAGTATCACATAGGATAGTACCTGAGCTAGTAGCTAGGGGTACTTCCTGGCACTGAAGAGACGAAGATTGTGGTGCTTCTGTACAGACAGGATTGCGTTCGTAGGGATGCGAAACAGAAAACGCTGCAGACGTAGGACGAAACCACGTTGAGCCAAGAAACCGGACGCGACCATAACGACCAAGCGTATGCCAGGCGAATTCGAGACCAGATAATCGACTGAGTGCGTTGACTAGAGCATGGGTGGCCAAACCAGCTTTTGCCAAAGTTGACTGAAGTCGACGTTATCAAACGGGCGATGGTCGGAGGCGTGGGCTCAGGATACAAAAAAAGAAAAGTGTAGCATGCGTGTAGTATAGGAATAATCCTACACCGTATCCGTTATTGACTGTGCGTTTAGTCGCGAAAGCGTACGGGTAATCGTACTCGGCGACAGAAACGTGAGACGGTGGTCTCGTTCGTACTTCGTGAGCCTGCGATCTCATCCGAGGTCATGGGCGGCGTGGTCTGCTGATCTGGACGTGAGACGGAAGTCTCGTCCGTAGATGGTGCAGATGACGCGTGCTGTTGACCGGGACGTGAGAACGAGGTCTTTGATGTATCTAGCGTGGGATCCGAGGTAGACGTAGAGATCCCGCTAGAAGGTTTGGTAGGTCTAGCATTGAGTCTCAAGTTATCGGGTAGGGCACTGTCATCGACGTGTGCTGGTTTGAGACGATCAATGCTGACGATCTCGACGCGGCCGTGTCGATCAACCTTGAAGGTCTTTTCGTGACGAGAGATCATGTGAAAAGGGCCTTCGTAAGGCTGTTGTAGAGGTTTGCGTACCGAATCTACTCGTATGAAAACATGTGAACAGGTAGATAACTCTCGAGGGAGAGCGACCTGTCGATGTTGTATTCGAGTTGACACCGGAGACAGCGTTCGCATAAATGCAAACAGTCGATGGACGTAGTCTGATTTACCGAAATCATTACTGCTCCGTGGTGTGAAGAATTCCCCAGGCAGACGCAATGTCGTGCCGTATACAAGTTCAGCGGCGGAACATTGGATATCGGCCTTCATACTCGTTCTGATGTCTAAGAGAACGAGCGGTAAGGTCTCGTACCAATTGTCGTTTTCGTGTGCTCGAAGAGCACTTTTAAGTTGGCGATGAAACCTTTCGACTAAACCATTCGATGCTGGATGGTAGGCGTTAGTACGTATGCGTTCCGTACCAAGCAGCCTGGTCAGTGAGGAGAATAGTGCGGACTGGAATTGTTGTCCTCGGTTAGTCGTGACAGTTGAGGGACAACCG